CGACATTGAGAACATCTCTTGTGTAATCTTTCAGTTTGTGACCATTTACCCTCCTGTAAAGAGCACAATTGGTTACACACCACGCTCTCCCAACTACTCGCACACTCGTCAAGAATGCGAAGTTTATGTTCGTACTGCTGATAGTTATTACTTATCAGATTGATCTTCTGCGTTTCTCTGTGATGTCGTTGTCTGGGAATTTATGGCTGTCTTATGTATGAAGTCGCTGTTTCGTAAGTGTTACGATCATGCGTGTGTGTCTCTTATGTCGTTGACTTCTACATGAAACTCTAATGATCTCATCTCTGAGTGATATTGTACATCTAGCTTCTCTGTGTAGTTGTTCGTCCTTTGCTACTCTGCATTAATAATGAGACTAGTCTCTCACTCTCTCGTGTGTACTATACCTTAAACTCTGTGTGTGCTGTACGACTCTCTCATCAACCATTTATCTGCTCTTGTGTCTGTCTAATTTCTCTCATTGTCAATAACACCCTATTGTGTGTGTGACACTACCTTCACATGCTAGTGTTCTGTCTTGTAAAGTCTCTCGTGAAATACTATCACCGGCTCTTAGATGTACAGACATATCCATTTAAGGTAGCTACGCATGCTCATTTTCATAATCTACATATTTCTAAGTCTTTGTCTGCACACGTGAGTGTGTCTCTATGTATACTATTCGTTGTCCATATGTCTCAGACCTGTGAGGCTCCATCGCCTGATTAATGAGTGCAATGTGTACACGCTCTCAAACCAATGGATATTTCTAGATACTATCAACTCTGCGTTGCACTGCGACACGTGAATCAGTGACAGACACTATTCATGTGAGTTGCTCTTGATACTTGCCCGTCTAAAAGACTACATTACTATTATCTCAATCATACTGTGAATAAACTCTTGTCTCAGTGTAATAATGCTTCACCTCAACAATTGTTAAGAGTGTGCTCTATAAAGTGTCGCTATCTGTTATATGTGATGCTATCTCGAAGCTAGTCTCTTGACTCTACGAATCACCGTCTATTATCATCGCTCAACTTGTCAATAAATGTTGAGTCTGTGATCTCTGTCACTCTGTTCCAGTTCGCAGTGTACTGAATATCACTAAACTGACAATAGTCGTGATTGCTGAACAATTCGTATAATGTAGCAGTCATCATGTAGTGTGTATTGTGCAGTATGCAAGTCTGATACATAGACGTGGCGTGCCTGATGAGGACTCTAAGAGTGATTTCACTGCAGATAAGAGTTGCTGTCTCTAGAATCTCGATAAGACGTGTACTCGCTTCTCATACATAGGATATCTTAACGTATGTTTGTCTGTTTGTGTGTGTGTGCACAAATCAGGTTATGAGTTTCTAATGTTCGTATCTCGAGTAGAAATTTTAAAATTCTAAGGTATTCATCTTTCTACTCTGATGCTTTTGTGAGTGTTCTCTATCTGCCTGCACACTCACTCTGTTGTCACTCTAGATGTCTCAGCTACAAGTAGTACCTACGTGAAGTCTGGCTCTCTGATGGAGCTCACATTCAGTTAGTACTGATACCATAGATCGTTAAAGAGTCCTGTTGTTCGACTAATACCCGACCGACTCGTGTGATCTTCTGTTTGTCTCTTGCTCCATATGATCTGTGTAGATAGTAGTTTCCAGTTATGTCTATGTTGATCCACAATACATACTTCTTCGCGAATCACCTTTGAGCGCGAGGCCGGTAATTAGATTTCACACATCCTAGACTTTGTCAAGATATAACTATGAAAGACATCCGGTTTCAGCGTGTGGTGTCTAATAGTCATAGTCTCAGACGCCTGTTCATTGAGACCTCTTTGACTGATACAGTGTACTCCATGTACTCTCTTTATAGACTGTGGCTGGTGACAGATAGAGATAGAGATTAATTTTCTTGCTCCATTTCTTAATATATAGATTTGTGGTTTCAGTTTATCAGTGTAGACTCACTGCATGTCTGTCAGTGTGTGTATACTTTAGACGCAAGTGCTCACTCTACAACTCTCCACTCGCTCGGTTGCTCATCTTCAATAGGTCTGATCTTCTCTACTGTGTCAGTTTTATTGAGAACTCTATCTTTCTCAGCTCGAGTCTAATAGTCTGCGCAGTATAATTTCCTCTCTTGTGCCCTCCTCAAGATATGACTCAGATTCTAATCTCAGACAAGTCAGAGAGTATGATGACTCTCAGTTGTCTATCCGAAGTACTCTGAGTGATTAATGGTTGTCGTCACGCGGCTCGAAATACTGTTAGACACTCTGCAGCCAAGAACACAGGTTGGCTTATCGCTCACTGCGCTCAGTGCGAGAAACTTGCGCTACATCAGGCACAGTACACATATTTTAGTCGTCGCGCTAGTATCATTGTTGTTGTCTGCTCAGAGTCCAGACACTCAGAGAGATAACTCGCTCCCGACATATGATGGTCTATTTTCTATTGCATGATCTTGCGAGAATCTTCCTTCTGAGTCTGTAGTAACCGCGCACAGCTCCGCGCTGTGAGCTCGTCCTGGAGACGTGATCCTGAATTACTCGTGACGCTTAGCATCTGTCTCTCTCGTTAACTATTTCACTTGTCTTACTTGTAGCGTGAACCATCTCACACGCTCTTACTCTGCTCAGACGTCACACGAAAGCCTTGTGCGCATGTATGTAGATCTTTCTGACTGAGATTAGAACTCTATGTACTTGTTTGGTCTCGGGAAGTCATCACATAGAAGGACTGTTCGCCAGGCTCTTATTCGTAGTTCCTCTGCCTGTTTTCGCTCTGCTGTTCATGTCTGAGAACTGTTTGGTGTCTCTACCTCTCTACATATAGAGAATCCCATGATGTGCAAGGTGTTGTGAGTTATTACTCGGAGTGTTCTACATACATTTGGGTGCTCACGTGCAATTTTGTCGCTATTCATCGCTTGACTCAGAATATAAGAGAAGCTCTATATCGCTGTAGATTGGAACTTCGATTGCGTTTCCTGTTCCTGTCGCGTGAAGTTGTCATACACAGCTATGTCCGACTCCGCAATATGAGATATATCAAGTCTGTGTCACGGCGCTAGTGATGAGTGATAAGTTGTGTGCTCACTCTGAGACGCCTGCAGTGCAGATGATATTTGGCTCTCACTCTCTTCAGCTCTCCAGAGAGTCACTAAGTGCTCTCAGTAGCGCCTCGGTAATATGGCTTGAGAAATATCCAGATTGTGTGGGCTGATGACGCCAATAGTGAGAATGAGATCGTAACTCTGTACTGGATAATAGTGGAGTGGATAGCACTGCAATTGACAGCGGAAGCTAGAGCTGGGCTGTGCTCGTGTGACAAAGTGTATGCGGATCGTCGGAGTGAAGATGCTGAGGAGAGTGTACTTCGTGGTATCATCAAGACCAGTTTGGTTTGATATGAGGTCAGTCTGCATTATGAATCGCGCTTGGTAGACGGTCGAGAGAGGGCTGCTGTAGGTGATGAGGATGGAGTGAGAATGCTGCAGCTGTACCTGTAATAGGCGCTGTTACGTTTGCTGTGTGTGCGTCAGTCGAAGTATATACTGTGCGCGCGCCTGTCGCGACGAGACATTTAAACGCTTGGCCGTGTTTGTTCACCGGGTGTATGATCTAGGTTGCTGGTGTGTGTAGTCTAGGTTCGTGCATATCGTGTCGATGAGACGCGATGAGCAAATATGAGGATAACGCGCTGTGCGGTGAGTCGCTTATTGCGGTGAATGCTAGAACAGTGATTGCTGTGATGACTACACGCGTCCTCTGATGTGGTTTGAGTTTCGACTATGAGCGCGAGATCTATGTGTCTGCGATATGTTCGCGGTACTTGCGCGTGGGGGGTGAATACCCCATTCTCAACTTGTTTCGCCGATGTGAGGATAGCTTTGTCGTTACGCGATACCTCGCGCGCAGGGTGTTGTCGAGCTAATGCCTGTATGGAGGCACGTATAGGCTATCGTGGTCGTCTGAGTGGAGTCTAGTGGAGAAGAGAATCGCCTATGCAAACGTGTCAAGAGTGTGTGCGCTGAGATTAGAACCTAACGGCATCTACACTCGTTAACTCTGGGCCTTATCTCGGTCTCACATCCTAGTCCCGCTGCGGCATCGAACGCGCGCCAGACAATTCAAATCTCTTCGGGCTATAGCTCGCGCTCATAGCCAATCTCACGCAGCCACAACGTCGTATGCCTCGAGCGCTATACGTTCATGACCTCTATTCCACATGCGCTAATGCGATTAATTAAATACTTGAATTTCTCAGCGAGTTCTTGCTGACCCACCCCTGCGCTGGCCCTTGGTGTGGGCCCCTTCCAATCTTGCAGGAACGCTATTCACTTTGAGGGTACGAAGCAAACTGAGGAACAACTGGCAGTCTGGAACGTTTAGGAGCTGTCACAGATAAAAGCAGTATCGTCGGCGTATTGGAAGTCAGTGAATCGTTCACCTGAGGGCAGCTTTGGACTTTTTAGGTCGTGCTCGGTTAGCAGAGGGCCTTTCCACTCTGTTTTCTGATGATCCCCTACGCACCTGGCTTTATATTCAAAGGTGTCGGAGTTCGAATCTGCGGATTTTGGCTTTTTTCCTGTTAGGTAACTATCAGCTGTTGCTTACTTTCAGTGCTGGACTCCACAATTGCTTTCGTTCTCATGTATACTTCCCACGTTCTTATTGCCTGTATGACCCTCGAACTTGGGTCACAGTTTTTACCGTCAAGAGATTCAATCGTTGCACCACCCAGATTCAGCCAACTCTAAGTCCCGCGTTTTAACTCCTACCCAATTATCTCTAACTGGGGAATCCTTACGTGGACGAAAACGGTTGTTGAACTTCGTGTTCAGAGCGGGCTACACACCGCGCTTAACGAATCAGGGTACATTTAGATAGTCAAACTATCTCAAGTCCAGTTCAAAGTAGATCGGGGTACGAATTCAGACTGCGCACCAATCAGCTCTTTGCGTCTACCATTTTCCCCAACATTTATTGCTTTGCTAAGTTAATGTACACTGCTGATCGTTTCTATGCTCCACTTTCAGTGCTTGCCCTTGTGAAGTCGGCACAACAACAGCATGGATTGCGACACGGTGACTATCAACGATATCGTCAGTACGTTTCACGAAAGCTGAGACGGATGCGAAAATCCTTGCATTTTCAACAGGTATGCCAATTGCTTCGCGTTTTTAATCTTCCATCACTACTAGGGTACTCGGTCCAAAGTTACTCCCAAAAAATTAACATCGGATATTGTTACTGATCCTCGGTTCATCACTCTCCGAGTATTCGAGATCGAGCGTTCCTGGGCATATGCCATGCAGTTGAAAGCGGAATCGAATACAGAATTGCGCAAACGATTCCAAATGATCTCTCGACTCCGAAAGGCTGTTTTACGTGGCAACCAACTAACAGATTTGGCTGCTGAGTTGCCTATGTTGGATGCCAAGACTAAACTGGAAATTCAGGCATATGTTCAGTGGGTCCGTGGAACCCTCTCTTTTGAGTTGCAGGTACGCAGATATTTTTGTTTTCGCATATGCATTCAATCCACTTTCGGCAAATTGGGATAGCACTTTGCTGTCACGATTTGTTCTACCTCATCGGGACAGACTCTATGTGATCACGCAATCATCACTATTGGTTTGTCTACTACCAACTTGCTTTCTCGCTCTCTTTGCCGAATCTTGGAAGCACAATTCGTGTTGTAGAAAATACTAGATCAGCGCCAACACAGAAATATTCATACAGGTCCATTTGTTCGAGTTTCTCCGTTCTACTGTTGTTTTCCTTTACTACTGCTATTTCTGTGATTATTTTCCACGGATCTTTCTTTTTCACTTTGCTTCTGATTAAAATTAGGGATGTGAACAAACTCGATCAACACATCGCCCCATTCGCGCAGCGAGGTTATCCATCTAAGGTTGGATCTGCCGATCCCACCCGCTATCTTATCTGCATTCCAAGTGAACTTTCATAACTGCGTGACCAAAGTTAGTCTTCTACATCTTATTTTGAGCTCTCCAAGATTCAGCAACACTGTCGTCGTTCTCACCCTTGAAGGTGCACAGCTCGAACATCTAACTAATTTCGTCTACCTTTGAAGCTGTATTTTTACTAGTGGTACCATCACAGAGGAAGTATCTCTCAACGTCGTTAAAATCTGCTCAGCGTACTCCAGACGTGCCCATCTCGATAAATGGCTGCTTTTACATTGGCTCTGTTCGTTCACTGTTTCATGGGAGCGAGTCCTGGTCAGTTCGCGTGGAGAACATGCACTGTGCTTCCGCCGACAACGTTTGTTGGAGGAGGATCGCTCGTGTGTGGTGGCAACACCGATTTCACGGTGACAGCGTTCGACGTCGCGTCCTACGGAATGCCAGTATTTTCTATAACAATGTGGTTTTGCTGCGCCAGGTCATGTGCTACGCATGGCTTCTGAGCATTTGCCACGCCGCGCTTTGTTCATTCAGCAACGAACTAGAAGTGACCGCGTGGTGGTCATCCTTCCACTTTGGCGACAGCGCTTGAACTCGTTGACGTCGCGTCTAGCCGCTGTTGGACCCTTACGTCTATCTGGATGGGTACCCAAGGATGAAAAATGCCAATGGATTAACACACTTGAAGACATGGTTCGTAACCGGAATCATTGAAAGGATTGTGTACGGAATTGTATTGATTCACATGTTTAATACTTCAAACATTGAAAATGACCAAAAATGAAATATGCCTTTATGACAAATTTCGTTTCATTTTCATTCAAACTACTTTGTTTTTTGATTCCCTTGTCTACTTTTTAGACTTCAATATTTATATTTATTTTATCGTAGGCCACCTTGTTTTAGGTGCATCATGCCGTGGTTGGTGTTACCTACCTCATACTTCTTCGCCGCATTTGGTCTATTCCTAATTGCGCTTAAATTAGTTCTTAACCCACATAGAAAGTATTATACTTTATTCCATTTGCTCATTTCTGTTATTTGGTGCATATTACATGTCAGCTTTATATATTTGTTTTCATTCAAATTATATGTTGGTTGTTGGTTTGAATCACCACTTTGGCTACGCCTAATGTGAATGTTGAAAAAGTGCCTACCTGTCTATTACCTTCCACCTCGATTACTGGCTTCAGGAGATAGCAGATGCTTAGGGAAACGTGATGCAGGTGCTCCTGACCGTGCTGGGCTTAAAGTGTACTTCCATTCGCCTAGGATGGAGCGAGCTGCGGCTCAGCCACTGCCTTGTGTACGTCTGGCACGTATGGTTCCAGACACAGATAGACGCGAATGCTGTTATGTATATCGAAGGAGTGTGGGCTGGCTCCGTTGATGAAACGTGGCTCCCATCCACATGCCTCCTCGTCTTTCACCTTCAAGCTTACCCTGGATATGGGTGTGCGGGTGGAACTGTGGGTGGTGCAGCACAAGTCACCCATGGTCCCTCTGTAGGCACAGGCGTCCTGTGGTTATCTCCATGGAGGCCACAGTGATAGGCGAATCCGGGACCGGATGCTGATGTTGCATTCATAATGCTTCTTCACCGCATTTGGGCTAAACCAACTTACATGTAAACTAGGTCTTTTTATACCAGATAAATTCGTTTTACTATTTGGTTTGTTCTGCTTACCTGAATAATCTATTAACTTGCACACGTTGCTTGCGCTAATTGCGCTTATCTTCGTTAACTTTATTGCATCTGTAGCATTTCTTTGTGTGACTTGTGCACATTGTGTTCTTATCGCGGATTCGTTGCTAACCAACTTCATATGCTAATTTAGCGAAGAGTTATGTTGGCATAGCCGTATGCTTTAACAAATATATTTTGTTTTTTAGTGTTATTTTAAGTGATTGGCTATTGTTTGACATCCCCGGTTTGGCTGCGCTTGATGTGCATGTTGAAAAGGTGCCTACCCGTCTATTACCCACGGCGTCCTCGATACTGACTTGAGGAAACAGTTTGTCGTTGCTGGAGGGGACAGGGTGCACGGCCGTGCTAGGCTCGAAGAGTGGTTCTATACACTCACTGTGGAGCCGACTACAGTCCAGCCACCGCTTTGTGTGCGATTGTTTCCCAAATGCAACGTGCTTGTGTTTGCCTGTGAAGGGGTGTGGGCCGTCTCCGTCGACTAAACGCGCTTTCCATCCACATGCCTCCCGGTATTATTCCTTCGGGTTTACGTTAGATATGGGGTCTGTGGTTGGTGCAACGCAAGCCACCTATGGTCCCTCTGTAGGCGCAGATGTGCTGTGGCTGTCCTTTGGAGGCCACATTGACAGGCAAATCCGGTTAACGGATGCCACCAACAAACAAACAAATTTGACAATATGCATTTGGCTGCCAATCGTTTTCGAAATGTAAACTGCTACTTCGGGATTAGCATTGGCCGGTTTCTGTGCTCTTCAAGATACACTGCTTGAACAAGTGGATATCGTTGTTTTCCTGGACAGCTTCGTATATGCTTGTGCCATTATTGAAGAGAAGTTTCCCTTCGCATTCCCGAAGCTCTGGCGGCGTTTGTCAACCCGCAACACTTGTGCCGCCGTCGAAATGTCTCCCTCTTGCTTGAGCCGTGTTTACAATGCTACCGTTCGGACGGTGTTGGTATGTGGAAGCGACTCGTGGCCAATTCACCTACATGACATGCACCGACTCTCGGCCTTTGATAATGGGTCGTCATCATTGTACACGTTATCTGCATTTGGAAAACAGTTATTGTGCGTTGTCTAGCTAGACTAGCACCACGCATGTTGGACCCGTATACAACCGTCATTGTTGCGCATGGTAGGAAAGAAAACGGCATCTGATTGGAGACATTGTGGCGACTACAGAGCACTTAACCGCCTTACCATTTCTGATAGGTGCCCCATTCCACCTATTCATGATTATTCTTCTCATCTTTTTGAGTGTACTTTGATAATGGTGCATGAAGTGAATCGCTATTGTGTAGTGGCAACAAGGTATCTGCACCGATAAAGCTAGACGTCATCTCTTAGGAAATGCGAATTTTTCCCACAAGAACTTGGCTTTACTGCGTCAGTTAAAATGGACCGGTCACGTCCTATGTATGTCAGCTAAGCGTTTGCCCCCTCGCGCCCTTTTCGCTCATGCAAGAGTTGGTTGGAAGAGACCATGCAGTGGTCAATCGTCCATTTAGCGGCAGCATATAAAATCGTTGGTTTCACGTTTTGCTGCCGTTGGATCCACACGCCTGCCAGTCTGGCGACCACATTGACGCGCACTTCCGAAACCATTGAAGCATCTGTGTACATACTTGTTTAGCTTCCCATGCACGGTGCACAAAAATTAAAAAATAAATTCTTAAAACAAGATGTTTCCTTTATACTTCCGAACAGAAAACTCAGAAAACTGTGACTTTAAGCCGCCTACCCTGGTAGCGCAAATCCGGAGTCACCTGTGATCTCTTTGATATTGTTGGTTGTTCATTTCCATCTCATCGCTGCGTGTTTTTGTGATTGATAAGAATGCACGGAATAGCGACGTCATCTCACAATCTACCTCATTTAATTTTCCTGTTTGGAATTAAAAAGGATAAAAGTAACAAACAATGGCAATGCAGAATAACAAGAAACATATCGTTTCTGTATTGCGGCACACTAGCTGAAGTGTATTGCTCACCTTCAGTTAATGTACCCTAATGATGATGCTGCGGTGATTAAACCTCCCTTCAATGAGTGGAAAACAGTGCGATGTTAGCAGCAAAAATTCAAAGCGGTCGAAGGTCTTTAGGCTCACGTGACCTGTTCCGAGGAAAACGCAATCACTAGCCTCACCAGGGTAGGGCTAGCATGGTCACGAAATCTGTTTGCTTGCATAGATTTGGCTTCAGCCGCCGAATTGCTGCCGCCTCCGCAAACTGTAGTAAACGGGGATTAGCTTGTTTGCTAACTATGCCCTGAATGCCAGAACCCACGTGGCAATTTCAGGGTAGTTAGCAAACAAGCTAATCCCCGTTTACTACAGTTTGCGAAGGCACACATTCTGTTTCAATGTTCATTTTTTCTCCCTCTTCGAGTTGCTCATTATTGCATCCTTGTTCGCGGTATCCTATGACAGACTATTTGACTTTGGAACCAGTAACCCCTGCAACTCTTTGACCGTTGTCGGCTGCGGGGCGTTGCTCGTGCCTGCTAACTGTCACCATTTCTCTAGGGTATGCGCACTCACCATCTATCGAGACGGTCCTTGTTGTTGTTATCAATTCATTTAGAGAACACCCATGGTCTGAGTGGATTGCATCACGCAATCTAAATCGCTTAACGTTGCTCTTCAGACTAAACCACAATGGGTCATTTACCATTGTGGCAAGTGTTATCCACGTCTTATGGTGGCTTAGGTCAGCGCTTAGACTCGCAGTGTGTTCCCTCATCTCGGATCTCAACCCCAGTGATGATCTCTCCTACTGATGCGGGTAAACAAGTGTGAAACCAGTCTAGTTGCTATCTCGGGCAACGCCTAACATTATTTATCAGGTTCTTGTTTTGCTTGACTGGCGAGAGGCTGGTGACCAAATAATATCACCGGCATTGGTGCTGTTGGTTCGTCTCACCTTCCAGGTTGGCGATCACACGATCTACCTTGTGTGTTTGACCGGAGATTGCAAGACGTCGTCTATCGGCCAGCGTTACCCACACACGCTTGCTGTCATCTAGTCTAATTGTCTGTTTTTATTGTGTTTGATGTCGGGTTATCAGTCGGACGGCGTTCACAGTTGCGGGGTGCAATGGGATGCTGCAAAGGAATTGTCACGTTCATGCTTGTTTATTTACACACGATGACTATCTGTTTGCGGATATGCTGTTTGCGTTGATCGTTATGGTTTTACACTGGGTCTGCCCCCCCCCTCTCTATACTGTTGCTCCTCATTGTGGCAGTCTTGATTACATGGCTACGAAGCATCCACGCAACTTCTTTCATTGTTGTTGACGGTATGTATTTATACAGGGCACGAAATGTTAAGGGCTGCGGGATACCCGCAGTGACCCTTACATAACCTAGACAATTTTGTCATCTGACAATGAGCAATGATTCGTTGTAACCGGGATCATTTAAGCAACTGCCACATATTGGTTACCTTCATTCGTACTAGTACACAGCCTGGCCCCTTTGCCCTCACTGTTCAAGGGCATCGGAATCGTTAGTTGGGTCATCTGAACCCGATTTGGAAGTCGATGTAACGGCTCCTACCGTTAACAAGATTCGACACAACCTGGTATTGTTGCAGCGGAACGAAGCACCTGAACCGAATGACGTTCCATCTTCTTTGCTGCAAGATCGTGGTCTCCACTGGCTACCTTAGCCACTCTGTGTGGCGCTATTGAGCACACAGAAAATGTGCCCACTGATTTGCGGTTGTCATCCGTCATCCAGATTTTTAGAAAGAGCAAAACGGCTAACCATGCCAATCGTCATGCTGTCAGCCTGCTTTCGATTTCCTCCTAGCTATTGGTGGCGGTTCACCGATCTTCGCGAGAGACGAATCACTGAAAGCAGAACAGACTCTACCCTGGTGAAGGTGACGTCGATCACCTTTTTACCACATCTACCGGTTTCCTATATTGGTAGTCTTCCATGAATTGGAGATGGTTTTTGATTCTGTTGATCTCACTGTGTGCGACTGGAAATTTCAGTTTAATTACTTTCAGAGCCTTGTCTGCGGGAAACTGCCTGGTTTCTCGATTGGGTAAAGGTACGGCGATCCTTAGTCAACAACAGTTTTTCACCCTTTCTTCTATTAAAAAGCATCACTTGTACACCGGCAAATCATACCGACTCCTCGCTTCCACGTGACCATCACTAATCGCGAGTAGGCTGGGTATGCCGCGAGGCCGCACGCACCTTCGCGGATTCGAACCAGTGACCTCCAGAGCTAACATCTTGTTCTTTCGGCCACTGGTTGACCTTTTCTTCTGTTCATATCATTTTATAGTCGGTTTATTTTCTGAGTTAGCCGGAAATTAGGCTCATAACTCAGTCGGGTTATTTCATACCGTGCATGATGTGCTGTCATTTTTGCTCATGTATTGTGCGATTCATGAGGCTACAGTCTAACCCGCAACCTCATGAGATCTCATCTCGAAGTTGGAACCGCACGTGTTCTGTGTATGCGACACGTTCAATGTGCCATTCTGAACGACTAGCTCTTGCACATCAGTGATTTTAACTTTACAAGGGTTTGGAATCCGTAAACACGGTCCAGTTGAGAGATTACCTATTTGATTTTGCCTTCAGTCTGATTTCATTCAAATACTTTCGGTCTGAAGTTCACTGATTCGATTCGGGAGTCCTACCTTATCATGTTAATTTCGCATCTCATAAGCAGTCACTGACAAAAAACCCACACTGGACACAAGAAAAGGAAGACTTATCGCATCCTTCTTATTTTGAACTCCACCACCGCTGATGGATTTTTTATAACCTCCGAATTACACACCAAAAATGTTATCGCAGTTGGCACATTTGATCGTCTCAAGACGTTGACGGCCGCTTTTACCTCTCTTTTCTTTTGCAGGATTGGATTAAAGCGAAAGAATTCCTCGAATCTATGCAGGCTATTTACACTTGCCTCATTCAAACCATCGAGGAGGATGCACGAGCTATCTACACTGCACGCGTCGCTGACATTTTGCCCCAAATCCACTATTGTGCGTACAATATTGGCGACAAATCCGCGGCATCCGATTTGCAAAGGATGCGGGCTGAAGCGACTACGAATTTCGGTGGCTTAGCAGAACTACAGCTAGACGAGTTACTGACCCAGGCTCGAGCCAGCCAAGCTGGTCAAGTGACGTCAGTGGAGTGGCTTGGCCGTTCCATCCCCATCAAATCGGAGAAAGCGAAGATGGCTGTTTTGGCTGTTAACGTAAGTTGTCCGGGCACTTTATTCTCCCTCAGCACTTTTGCCTCCTGCAGTCCTCACATCACTAACGTGATTGATTCGCTATTCACCAATCATTCATAATCGTTATGCACGTTAGCTAGAGGTGGGAGACACCTCAGCTATTCTACCGCACTACACGAGAAGGGCAAATAGACGCAACAGAAGCACGCCAACTGATCCATCAGTAATGGATGGACATCGTTCCGGATAGCTAACAGGCGGCTGTTGTTCCGCAAAAAGGTTACGCTATGCTTAAGGAATGACATCCTACTCAGAGGGGGAGGCTAAGACGAGGAGGGTGGGACAAAGAAACTCACGACATGAACGCCATTGAGGTCATCTCCTAGCCATGTCAACAGAAGTATCTAGCCAAACGTGTTCACCGTCTTTCGGGCACCAACCAGGGAGCTGAAAGGTTCCAACCGAGGCAAACTTCAAACTAAGGGCCTTCATTCCACTTGACCATGTCATCGGTTGGCATCCTTTCCTGTTTTTTCATCCACACCCCGGCACGCAAACAACTCACGTAGCAAGAGTCATGTTAGCGTACGCAACATGTTGCCCAGCCATCAGAGCCTGGCTCGTGAAATGACGGTTCTGAGCGGTTCACTTCCTTTTCCTGTGTCACAAACAAGGCGCCGTACACACTCATTGCTCACGCAGTGTTCACACCACATATGAGCCAAACTGCGAAGGTACCGGTGGTCGAACGTAACTATCCTATTTACGGCTGTTCACCTAATGGGCCAGCTTTCACTGCCGAACGGGCGGGTCGAACTTGCGACTGCATTGTACACTTAACTCTTTCGAGAGAAAGAACGAGTGATGTCGCGCCGACGCTATAGGGGACGAAGGTGAGCGAAAATGCAATACAGTTTGTGACTTCGTCTTTAATTTCAACCACGCTAATACAACTGCCTAGATAGTTGAGTTTGTGAACGACTTCTACTTGATATTTACCAGCATTCAGCGCAAGAGGCGGTCCCTGTCAATCTTGAAGGAAAGCTTTATACTTTGTGGATGTAAAGCACATTCCGAAACGGCTTACAATCAGTGCTTATCTCTCCAGTGCTACTTGGGCCGTTTGGGGACTGTCACATAGGAGGGCAATGCTGTCAGCACACTCCAAGTCAAGATTTCGTTCACGTGGGAGCAACTCCACATCTTAGTCGTGTCCAGTGAACGCGGTCTTCATTATTTCGTCAATGGTGAAGTCGAAATGGAATGGTGACAGCGGGAAACCTTGTCTTACACCGCCGGATATATTGGAGGGCGGCGACACTTTGTCCGACCTGTGCGTGTGTAGGGCATTCTGATAACACTGTCCGGCCAAAACTTTCTTTTCTATAACAGAAATACCAACTTGTTTACCTTATAGAATACCCTTTACTGATCGTTGAAGTGAATTCCGATGTTGTCTAGCGCGGCAAGCTACATTTTTATAGGCTAATGATTATTTTCAGTAATGTCCAGTCTAGATTGGATGAATTATATATAAATGTACTAAATCAAAGTATGCATGTATGTTGCAACTACGTTTAAAACATCCCTGATACCCTCGCCCATAACTGCTGATTGCAGTTTACTACTGGGGAATGATGACTTCGCCAAAAACTTCGCTTATAGGATCCAGTGTCCTCATTCTGCAGAAACCAGCGGTTCATCCATCATAAAAGGTGTGCACTTGCCACTGTAGCGCTGCTCCGTGACTGAAATGTCTTGGTGAAAGCGTTCATTATGCTCATCACTAACAGATCCCCACTTCCCAGGGAAGAACTCAAAGTGGTTATGTGGAAATTGAATCTTGAGTGACATTTGAGCACCAACAGCCTGATAGCCTGCATTAAGTTTTTATACTGTCTTTGTAATTCTCGGTCTTTCTTCTACCTTGAATGATCTCCAGTCTTCTAACTCATAAAGTCAACTGACACTTCAAAGCAGTCTAACATCATCCGGCAAATATCCGGCTCAATAAGTATCCTTTCTTTGAGTTTCACATCACTGATCTTCAGAAACACTTGTTTCAGGTACCGGAATGCAAAACCATCTCGCTTGAGGGTCTTGACGAAGTTTTTACTCAAACCACGATTAATGTGCAGAGGTGGTAGATAGATATGCTCAGGTTGCCAAAGTGGTGTATGCTTTACACTCATTTTCTCTGCACCATGCTCCGTTCTCTCTGATCACTTTTCGGTTGCATATTGCTGTCGAGTTGCTCTACTGTCCCATAAGTTCAAGAAACAACACTATTTTGTGAAGCCTCCTTGATTACCCATTAGGAGTCCAATGACTTTAAAGTCGGTACAGATGTTTCAGCAGTAGTTATCGTAGTTCAGTGCAATGAGTATCTCTTGCATACTTTCGTAGGTATCCTTCATATTGGTGACTTGCAACCGAGACACAGTTAGGTGCACATTTCCATTGTGGAGCAGTATAGCCTTAAGTCTACTCTTGGACGAGTCAATGAACAAACGCCATTCTTCACTGATATGCCTCACGCGAAACTCCTTCATCAGTTCTTCCACGTCAGAACCGTAACAAAAGGTTTCGTGTCATAAAAACCGGACAATTTGACGCTTCGCTTTCTGCATACGGTAACCTTATTGTTTGCAGCAAGTAAGTGCCACTACTGCAGCCGAGATGCCAACAACTCGGCCTTGTCTTTAGGCAAGCCCAGGTCACGTACCAAGTTATTCAGCTCTGAGTGTTCAGTAAGATGTGGGTTGACCTCATCAGCTTCAAAGTCATCACAGATGTCAGCATCAGGTGAAGTTGCCGATGCAGAATCACTACTCATCATCAGTGACATCTTCACTGGAGGCACTGTAGTGGGTAAGGTGTAGTCATGTGGAACAGGTCGAATAGCTGATGGAAGCTTGGGGTAATGAGTATTGTCCTTGTTTCGCTTGGAGAATCCAATGACACTGTCATGTGATCCTACGGCTCCCTTCACACGATGGGGATTGCAGATCGCATCTTGCCTTTGCCCTTGAGCGACTGAGTCAGATGAAGGTTGCACAACACACAAACAACATGTGGCACCCACTTCTTATCCAGATTTCCCAGTTTCATCCCGAAATATGCGTAGTAGGCAGACTTCAGTAGGGAAGAAATGGGTCTGCACTGCGACTTTGTAGTAAACTGTCCACAGACTTAACAAAAATGATTTCGGTCATTGACACAGCAGCGTCTTTCAGCCATGATCAAGGTATCAATTAAGGAAACACAGCTCTCAATCGACTGTCAGTATCAGGTGAATACCATGGTCAAGACCATTACTCCTAAACTTTTACAGGGCGCCGATGGCCCAATCACAGACGAGCATTCGATGCATGGAACACACTGCTTAGTTGAAATAAAAAACCAAAGTTAAATAAAAAGCGGACATAATAAAAATATTTGCTTTGCATATTTGTTATCAGCTCACTTGGTACTAGCAACACCCTATTTCGTTTCTTTAATAAAAATGATGTTGAACAGGATAATGTTTATCAATTTCTTGGGCATACCTATTTTAAGTAGGCCTTCCCAAAGGGCATAGCGATTTACCGCATCGAACGCATCATTCATGTCCAGGAATACGAGTACGGTGGGCCGCCAATGTAAGTGACGATACTCAAACAATTAACATCAAGTGATGATGTGATCGATGCTGCCCCGATTACAATCAGACGTTTAGTAGCCCCGCGCAACTTCGAAGCTTTGCATGACTCAGACAATCGCAGCTCACATATCCCGCTGCGGATTGGTATCCAATCAATCAGGGCAGCTTGAGCCCAAGAACTCAGGTCTGTTCAGCAAACCCATGTGGCTTTTCATATCGTCTCTAGAAACAACGGTATGCCAGTCTGTCAGTCAGTGGTACTGTGTACAAAGTTTCGATAGTACGGATACCACCGCATGGATCAGATATTTTTTGCACCTTGCTCACATCTGGTCGGATCATTGATTGAGCATTGCTGAAATGCACTGGTTGCTGTTTGAAAAGCAATCCACCGGGTATCTGACAAACTTGTGCTACCTACCTTAGCTACGTATTCTCTCTTAAATTGCAGTTGACCGCCTCCCTTGGTATGCAGCATATACCGTCGCTGCATGTAATTGGGCGAAAGCGTGAGTTGGCTTGCCGACGACGTGGCATGAAGGTCCAGAAAAAGTGATCAAGTGGCTTGCTCATGCTAGTGCATGCCCTCTTCGGGATGCGAGCCTCTGGATACTCCATATCATTGTTGTTAATCTTAGTTGAGACGGTGCTTTTATTTTCGGCTTCTTGCATCTAGTTTGTGAGTGACTCTTCTCACTATACTCTTAACCATCCCATACCCTATTTATCTGGAAAAGCACTAGACCGCCGCTTTTCCCTGTTGGCGCTGGTCAATCCTTCACCAAGAACCGAACCCAACGGCTTGTGATACTAAGTCAGGTGACGGCGGTAGACCATCATGACTACCAAGCGGACTGCGGTATAGCGTGGCTCCTCA